TAATAATAATAATAATAATAATAATAATAATAATAATAATAATAATACATTTCAAATCACTCAAGGTCACCGAACAAGAAATACAAAGATAAAAACAACAAAAGACAGATATCCATAAAATCAAACACAATTAATGGTAGAAAACATAATGACATTAAACAGAATAAGCAAGTTTGAAAAAGTGAGTTTTAAGGTTAGATTTAAATAAGGGCAGAGAATCTGAATCAGCCATCCATCCAATTTCTTCCACTTATCTGGGGTCGGGTCACGGGGTAGCAGCATAAGTAGGGAGGCTCAGACTTCCCTCTCCCCAGCCACTTGGGCCAGCTCTTCCGGGGGATTCCCGAGGCATTCCTAGGCCAGCCGAGAAGCATAGTCCCTCCAGCATGTCCTTGGTCTTCCTCTGGGTCTCCTCCTGGTGGGACGTGTACAGAACACCTCACCAGGGAGGCATGCAGGAGGCATCCTAACCAGCCACCTCAACTGGCTCCTCTCGACGTGGAGAAGCAGCGGCTCTACTCTGAGTCTCTCCTGGATGATCGAGCTTCTCACCCTATCACTAAGGGAGAGCCCAGACACCCTACGGAGAAAACTCATTTCGGCCGCTTGTATCCTATATCTTGTTTTTTCGGTCACAACCCAAAACTCATGACCATAGATGAGGGTAGGAACGTAGATCGATTGGTAAATTGAGATCTTCGTCTTTTGACTCATCTATCTCTTCACCACGACAGACTTGTACAGCGCCCGCTTCACTGCAGACACTGCACCTATCCGCCTATCGATCTCTCGCTCCATTTTTCACTCATTCGTGAACAAGACCCCAAGATACTTGAACTCCTCCACTTGGGGCAGGACTTCCTCCTCGACACGGAGAGGGCACTCTACCCTTTTCCGGCTCAAGACCATGGCCTCGGATTTGGAGGAACTGATATTCATCCCAGCTGCGTCACACTCGGCTGCGAACCGCTCCAGCGAAAGCTGTAGATCATGATCTGATGAAGCCATTAGGACCACATCATCTGCAAAAAGCAGAGACACAATCCTAAGGCCACCAAACGGATACCATAAACACCTTGGCTGCACCTAGAAGTTCTGTCCATAAAAGTTATGAACAGTATCGGAGACAAAGGGTAACCTTGGCAGAGTCCAACTCTCACCAGGAACGAGCCCAACTTACTGCCGGTAATGTGGACCAAGCTCTGACACCGGTCATACAGGGACCTAACAGCCAGTATCAAAGGGCCTGGTATCCCATACTCCCGGAGTACCTCCCACAGGGTTCCCCGAGGGACGCGGTCGAACGCCTTCTCCAAGTCCACAAAGCACTTGTAGACTGGTTGGGCAAACTCCCACACACACTCCAGGACCCTGCTGAGGGTGTAGAGCTGGTCCATTGTTCTACGACCAGGATGAAAACCGCACTGCTCCTGGTGAATCCGAGGTTCGACTATCCAACGGACCCTCCTCTCCAGAACTCCCGAATAGATCTTACCAGGGGGCTTAAGAACGTGATCCCCCTGTAGTTGGAACACATTCTACAGTCCCTCTTTTTGAATAAGGGGACCACCACCCTGGTCTGCCAATCCAGGGGAACTTCCCCCGATGTCCACGCAATATTGCAGAGTCGTGTAAGCCAGCACAACCTTACAATATCCAGAGTTTTAAGGAACTCCAGGTGAATCTCATCCACCCCTGTGGCCCTGCCACCGAGGAGCTTTTTAACCACCTCAGTGACCTCAGCACCAGAGATTGGAGAGCCTGACCCAAAGTCCTCAGACTCCGCTTCCTCAGTGGAAGACGTGCCTGTGGGATTGAGGAGGTCTTCGAAATACTCTGCCCACTGACCCACGGCATCCTGAGTTGAGGTCAGCAGCACACCACCCCTACTATAAACAGTGTTGGTGGTGTACCACTTTCCCCCCCTGAGATGCCAGATGTGGACCAGAATCACCTCAAAGCCATGCGGAAGTCATTCTCCATGACCTCTCCGAACTCCTCCCATGCCTGAGTCTTTGCCTCAGCAACCACCTGAGCCACATGTTGCTTGAACTGCTGGTACCCATCAGCAACTTCCGGGGTCCCACAGACCAAAAAGGCCCGATAGGACTCCTTCTTCAGCCTGACAGCATCCCTCACCGCCGGTGTCCACCACCTGGTTCGAGGGTTGCTACCGCGACAGGCACCGACAACTTTGCGGCCGCAGCTCCGGTAAGCCGCCTCGACAATAGAGGCACGGAACATGGCCCACTTGGACTCAATGTCCCCCACCTCCCCCGGAACATGTTCAAAGTTCTCCCGGAGGTGGGAGTTAAAGCTTCATCTCACAGGAGACTGACAGACGTTCCCAGCAAACCCTCACAATACGTTTGGGCCTGCCAGGTCTGACGGACATCCTCCCCCACCATCGGAGCCAACTCACCATCAGGTATTGATCAGTGGACAGCTCCACCCCTCTCTTCACCCGAGTGTCCAAGACATGCGGCCGCAGATCAGATGAGACGACAAAGTCGATCACTGAACTGCGGCCTAGGGTGTCCTGGTGCCGAGAGCACATGGACACCCTTATGCTTGAACATGGCGTTTGTTATGGACAATCCATGACGAGCACAGAAGTCCAATAACAGAACACCACTCAGGTTCAGATCAGGGGGGCCATTCCTCCCAACCAAACCCCTCCAGGTCTCACTGTCATTGCCCACGTGAGCATTGAAGTCCCCCAGCAGAACAAGGGAGAATATGAATTACAACCGTATATAACCAGTCTCTCTACAGCTGTGCTGAAAACTAGATGCTGCCAGTGAGAAATGGGAATTTGATATATACTCTGTCTGTCTGTTGGTCTGTCCGTCCAACCACATTTCCTTTTTGGCGAGTGGTTGCATCTAGGAGTAAGAAAGGTTTGTTTAAAATATTGGGTTGTCACATTAAAATCCAAGCTGGCCACTGCCATATATTTATGTATACCAGCCACCCCTATCATTTAAAGAAACTATGCTTTCTATTTTTATATTGATTGAAAGCAGTTTCCTCAAACGACTGGGTAGCTTAGTGTGTTTTTGTATTAGAATTAGAAAAAATAGAAAGCGTTGTTCATTTTGTTCTGTTACTTGAAGATTATTATGATTGAACTAATTGTTTGAAAAAGGGGCATATATAATAAGATTTTTTCTTTTTTCTGCTGCCCTTCATTTTAAATCTCTTGTATTTTTTTTATATAGTTATGAAACTGTTTTGTATTTTTAAAATGAATAAACTTTATACCATACCATTATAACCATTAAGCTGCAGCGTTGTTGTGTTTCTCAGGCCAGAAGCGGAGCCGTTCCCCTCCCGGTCCAGCAGGGGGCAGCAGCTCGGCGGCAGCAGCCTGTTAGCCTGTTAGCAGTTGAAGGTGCGGCAGAGGGAAACAGCCGGGACGCCATCGCTAGCTCCCAGCTAGTGTGTTTGACGTTTATTTTTTATGCCCCATTTTTCCCAATAATAACCGAGATTTTGGCTGAATTTAAAAAGAAGCTGCGGTGTAAAAATAACTAGTAGACATTTTAAAATTAGTAACGCGCCTATTGACGGAAACGGAGGCACGTAAAGATTTTTTTTTAGGCTCAGCCGGAAAATTAGCGAAGCTAAACTGGAAGATCGTGGCTAACGCTAGGATAGCTAGCAGGCTAGCTTTCTCAACCGCGATAAAGACCTACTTTTTTTTTTGACTGAATCATTTTTATAAGCGTTTGCGATGGCTGACGTTGATAAGCTCAACATAGACAGTATTATTCAACGTCTTTTAGAAGGTAAGTTATTAAATATACACGAAAAATTACATTTTACAGGCTGTTGTGACTACAGGAGATGCGCAGCTAGCTATATGTGTATCCCAGGATATACCAACAAATCGATACGGATATTTGTTTTCCATTTTGATAATCGCTACTTGAGACCCAATGAGTGTAACAAATTATTTGTATATCTACAGAGCATATGAAGACGTGTGAAACGTGTTTTATTGTACACCGGTGTAATGCCGCTTTCTGTGACCCTAGTGTACATTATGACCTGATAATGGTTTTCAGCTGTTTTCTTTATCTCGTCATCTGTTTTCACACACGAAGGTACACCACACACACGTAGTGTCCTGTACTCATACTTTGTGTTTTGGACTTTTGAGTCATGTTAGATTATGTAAAAATAAAATTTATTAGTAGTTATTTTTTCCTTTTAAAATAAAGCGATGAGTTTCTAATTGCTGATATTAGTTGAATCATTGCTAAAGAGACATAATTATCAGGTAGGTGTGTATGCATCAGTGTTTTGGGACTTTTTTTAATACTTCAGAGACACTATGTTCCACACCAAGCTTTCTACTAAAACTGAGTTAGATTATTCTACGTCAATGGCTCATCCACCAAAACCTGCCCAGACAGATGCTGGTAAACATCGCTGACCCAGCAGCAGCAGCTGTGCTATAATCAGTTTTCTGATGGTTGTTGTCTTGTTGCAGTCAGAGGAGCGAAACCTGGCAAGAATGTGCAGCTGCAGGAGAACGAGATTCGAGGGTTGTGTCTGAAGTCCAGGGAGATCTTCCTCAGTCAACCCATTCTTCTGGAGCTTGAGGCCCCTCTCAAGATTTGTGGTGAGTGAGAGTAGCGTGTGTACTGCAAATGACAATGTACTACATCTTGCTTTGTTTTCAGATAATGTCAAATATGATTAAAAGGACAAACAATTGTTTTATCTGTTTTGATAAGGGTTCTGTGGAATCAGTTGTCTTTTCTTTCAATGTTTTTTATTGTTCTAAACTCCATGTTTTAATTGTGCTTTTACCAAACAAGTTTCTCATTTTATGTTGAGCAAAATTAAAACAAATCAGCAGAAACTGTGTTCAAAATTTAAAAGAAATTTGACAAATTTGTACACGTACACAGCAAAAAGTGTTTTAGTTCAACAAACATTTAATGATTTATTCAAGTATTTACAATTTTTGCTGTAAATCATTATTTAAATAAAGCAACATTCTTATCTTTAGGTAAAATACATTTTATGTTTTTCATGTCTTACTATACTTTACTTACTTAAATATAGTGAAAGTTTATCTAACTGTATTCTATTAGACTCACTTAGGGGTTCTTTTATTTGTTGTTTTGTTGACAAATATTCATTGTTTTTTACTTGAAGTCTGGTGTTGTGCGGCCCTGTAGCTTTCCGTTATGGCGGTGGCTGTAAAATCTTGTTGCTTCTATTTTCAACAAAGAAAGAAGGCGATTTCAGATTTCATGGACAGTTTTATGGTCGGCTCATACAACTGCAAAATCACTCATTTTCCTTCAGATGACGTATTTTCATGCCAAAGAGTGAGCTAACGTCAGCTCACTCTTTGTTGGGTAGTCCTGTTTTGTTGCTGTGATGCTCCCGCAGGCTGCCTCCTCTCCACTCACTGCTCATCACAGAGATGAGGAGGCTGCAATGGCAAAACACTGCCTAGCTCATTGTGAATGGCGTGAAGTGTGAAAAACACTTTGTCAAGGAAAAGAGCACATTAACAGATTCTGCAACGCTCAGTGTTTTACAGTAAACTCTGTTTTTAATCTCATTCTGTGATTCCACCGTGTTTTTCTCATCACAGAAGTCACAGAGCACTGTTTGGTTTGTGTGGTTGCATTAATCTGTCCATGCTTTGCAGGTGACATCCATGGACAGTACTATGACCTGCTGAGGCTGTTCGAGTATGGGGGCTTCCCTCCGGAGAGCAACTATCTATTTCTGGGTGACTATGTTGACCGAGGAAAGCAGTCCCTTGAAACCATCTGTCTCCTGCTGGCCTACAAAATCAAATACCCAGAGAACTTCTTCCTGCTTAGGGGAAACCACGAGTGTGCTTCAATCAACAGAATATATGGTTTTTATGATGAGTGTGAGTAATGTATAATTAAATTTAATTACTTGCTGCTGTGCGCAGTGCATTTAGCAACAAATTTAGTTTTCAAAGCTGTTTCTGTTTGAAGATGTTGTTCTCTGACTCTGAACAGACAAACTAACAACATATTCTTGTCACGTTGTGTTAGGTAAACGAAGGTACAACATCAAACTCTGGAAGACCTTCACAGATTGTTTTAACTGCCTCCCTATTGCTGCGATTGTTGATGAGAAAATCTTTTGCTGCCATGGAGGTGGGTTCTTGTTTCTAATGTTCCATGATGCTACATTTTTAAACATACTGTCCTGTCTGTATCTTGATGACCTGTACTGTGGCGTACTTGAACGCAGCATGTCAAAGTATTTCAGTTTGACGTCAGCTGTTTTTATTTGTCATTGTGAAATGCTGCCTGTGCACTTTGGTGACTGATGTTTGGACTGGGCCTCTATCAGTACTATCTGTACCTTTCAGGACTGTCACCTGACCTTCAGTCCATGGAGCAGATCCGACGCATCATGCGCCCCACCGACGTGCCCGATCAGGGCCTGCTGTGTGATTTGCTGTGGTCCGACCCAGACAAGGACGTTCTGGGTTGGGGGGAGAACGACAGAGGTGTCTCATTTACCTTCGGGTCAGAGGTGGTCGCCAAGTTTCTACACAAGCATGACCTGGATCTGATCTGCCGCGCTCATCAGGTAACAGCTTGTTTCTACGAACAGAAACGTGACTGTGAGCGCTCCGGTTCCAGGACCTCACGTCCTGAGCAGAGGACTGGAGGACGCTCTGCCTGGACTGAACTGTTACTTCACCTTTGTCTTTTTTTGCCCCGCAAAATTAAAGCTTTGTCAACTTTTGAACATCTCAAATGACATTTTTGAAAAACATCCATGTTGGACTGATTGGTAACTCTAAATTGTCCCTAGGTGTGAGTGAGAGAGTGAATGGTTGTTTGTCTCAGTTGTCTCTGTCCCTGCGATGGACTTGCATCATGTCCAGGGTGTCCCTAGCCTCACTCACCCATCATTTTCACTCTTTTCTTCACAGGTTGTTGAGGATGGCTATGAGTTTTTTGCAAAGAGACAGCTGGTCACTTTGTTCTCGGCGCCTAATTACTGCGGAGAGTTTGACAACGCCGGCGCCATGATGAGCGTTGATGAGACTCTGATGTGCTCCTTTCAGGTACCAACGTATCTTTGTTTGGTTTTTTTGTTCTACAATTGGAACATCTTTCTAAACTGAACAGCAAGGCAAAAAAAATGTTTTAATTACCTTTATAAATATAAAATGTTGGAAGTAAAGAGTTTTAAGAGAAACCATGAAGTTTTCAATTTTGCCAAGTGCTATTTCTGAGTGACCCATTTGTATCGGATGTTAAAAAGTTACTTTTTAGAACTCGAACGATGTAATTTTTGCTTTGAGACATGAATAAAACATTGTGTTTTTGTGTTTGCAGCTTTAAACTATGTGTTTACACACTTTGGGGGAGAAGCGTCATGTTGCTTTTCTTCACTGTTTGTTTTCTGTCGTTATTTTCCTCTTAAATGTAGCCAAACATGTAACTACTGCTGTAGTGAAACTACAGTTTCTGGACGGGTCACACCTGGGGATAACTGAGACAACTGAATGCAGTTCTGAATTTATTTGGAGGTTTTAGACAAAATAAAGAAAAGCTGTATGCATCATGAATCTTTTTTTAACTTTCTGTAATCTGTTCACAGATTTTAAAGCCAGCTGAGAAGAAGAAGCCGAACGGCAGCCGTCCTGTGACTCCCCCTCGCAACATGGTCACCAAGCAAGCCAAGAAATGAGGTGGGGGGAGACGGAGACCAGTCTCACCCCACTGGTTTGCTTTCGTCCTCTGCATTTGAAGGATCGAATATACTTCATGCTGCAATACTGAAAAAATACCCACTCCGACTTGATGAAAGCAAAATATTTAATTGTTGTGTCCACAGGGGTCAGTTGATACGTCACGGTGAAAACCTCAGGTGTTTTGCACTCCATTTTGCAGCTAGTCTTTGCCACATATGACTGTTGAATCAGGAAAAACCCAACAACAACACAGCTACTTATGCACAGGAATGCCTTGTTTGAAGCTGTGCACAATTTTTTCCAGTTTTCTTTCATGTCTCATTAGTCCTTTCATTTTCACTCTTTGTAATTGTTACCAATGGCTGTAAAAACGTAAGGAACGTCCCAGACATCCGTTTACTTCAGTAAACCTTAAGTTAATTCAGTGTCAGAGAACCACTCCACACACATTTTTAAAGTTGTGTGCTAAATTAAATGAATAAACATGCACTCTTGTAATGTTTAAATCTTTCTAATAAACTTTTAAGTGTATTTTGGGGGTACAAGTATCTTCAGTGTTGTTTATTTTGAAATCCTTTGCCTTTTCAGATAAAAAAAAAATCTTGTGAAAGGAAGCTTCCATTACTTCAAGAGGGAGACAGATCGTGAGGGTTTTATTTTAATCTGAAGTTCATGAAGATGATTGAACATCGTGTACTTTTCAGGTTGCTCAGTTATAATCAATTTAAAGTATTCACTGTCGATCAGTTTCCTGGACGAGAGATGAAGGTGGACGGAACGCTGCATGCCCATATTAGGAGACGTAGGTTTGATAACGTGTGACGTCAGAAGTCACGAGACCGTGCTCTGGGCATGCGCCCAGCGGCAGCCACGGTCTGTTACATAGCGTGTCGGAGGCTCGGTTGGCAGCATGGCTGCTTTCAACCAGCGCTCAGTGGATAATGGTGTTTTTGTCGGTCAGGGCTGACGTGACAACCAGAGAACACCTCTGTGGTGAGTCTAGTTTTTACTAGCAGCGTGTGGTTAGCTTACATCCAGGTCAAACTGGCGGCGCGGCCAGCTCTGCCGGTGTGCTGGAGCGGGTGTAGGTGATGCTGTCCGTGCTGTCTTACGGTCGACTGGTCGCCAGAGCCGTCATCGGCGGACTTTCTCAGACAGACAGCCGAGACTACAGCCTGGTGACGGCGAGCTGCGGCTTCGGGAAGGACGTCCGCAGAGGAGCCCTAAAGAAAGGGAGGTGTTACGGGGACGACGCGTGCTTCGTGGCGCGGCACCGATCAGCGGATGTTTTGGGTGAGTGCTGCAGAAACACGAGGTCAAGGACCACTCACTGCATGAGACACCACCTCACATCCAACCTAAGACCTGCACAACATCAGATAAGCCTGTTGGACACGGATCAATTCCTCGGGGACACTGAAATTAACCAATAATCATGTCGCGTGTTTTGGGCACGCGGGGTTCCATGAAGGGTCTGATTTGTGTCTGCTCCCAGGAGGAGGACATGATGCAGGATTGTCCTTGTATGGACATCCACACACAAGCTGGGACAGAAATGAAGCTCCCTGTCAGGGAAACCGAACAGCTCGAGTTTCTGAAACAAACCTGAAGTGTGCATGACAGCCATCCTGTAGTACTGTAGTAGTACTGCAGTACTTTACTTCTGTAGTGATGGAGCATGTATTCATTACATGAGACACACCTGACACTGCTCGACAGCACTCAGGCAGAAAAACGATGCTATGAAGCTCCAGAGCAGTCACTGTGCAAAAAACAAGTTTGTTAAAAACAGTTCTTGCTGGAGTGAGAGTTAATGTGAAAGTATGTGCTGCACAATGGCTGCCCCCCCCCCCCCCCCCCAAGTCTTCAGCAGACTCTATGTATGAGGCTCTACTAGCAAAAGTGACTGCTGAAAGAAAAGTTTACACATTTTGTAAAGTTTAAACTGCTCAGAAGTTACTGCATGACATCATCTCATATTTTAGTTGAACATTTTGTGGTAAAATCTCCCAAAATGATCAAACTCAACAGTTGTGCCCTGAGATGAGTTCTGTTGTGACTTGGCTCTAAATAAAAAAACTGAATGAAATGTGTAGAAACCACCGAGTCGTTGCAGCCAGTCGAGTCATGTGAAGTCCGTCGTTCTGTGAAACGGGATGTTTATGAAGTGTATCAGAACATGGAGGTCCTGAGTTTTCTCACTCATTTCAACAAAACCCCCATGTCCTCTAGAGTTCAGGGGAGGGGTCTGCAACCTGCGGCTCTGGAGCCACATGCGGCTCTGTGGTCGCTCTGCAGCGGCTCTTTCAAACTTAGACCAAAACTGACATCAAACCAAATTGTATTAAACAAACAACAAAAAAGATTTTTAGCAGTTTTCCTGTCTTTTCTTTTGCATATATGTGAACACTGGAAATAGTACAAGGAGTAAAACATACTCACTTGAACTATATTATATTTCTATATTGTCTAAATAAAGGTTGAATGAATAAAAATACAAAAAAAAAAATCCACAATTAAAAATAAAAAATCACTTAGGTCTGCATAGTTCATAGATTTATTTTATTAATTATCCCTCCCCCACCACATTTTTATTGCAATAATCTTTTCATTTGTGTTAAGTTGTAAGAATATCAATAAATGTTAAAAATAATTACATATTTTTAGCTGTTGTCACCCCTACTGGCCACAAAAGCCCCCTCCAGCAAGCCTGAAGTGGCCAAGGGGCCACCAGTTGATCATGACAATTGTAGCAGGTCGCTGCGGCGCTGAACACTTTAATTTAGTGAACAAAGGCATAAAAATGACTTGATCGTAAAAGTTGCAGACCCCTGGTTTATGGGAATTTCCTTTAGCACTGTACGAAGTCGGCACACCATTCCTGATCAAGCTGTTTTGGTTTTATGGGTTTCTCCACAGCTGGAAGAGAAGTATTAAATCCAGTGTCACAGAAACACAAAAGTGATAATGGCACCCTATTAAAATCACAACTGAATGTATAAAACGATGTTCTATACAAACTATTTGTTTATTACTGCTATTTAAACCATACAAAGTAGACTACCATCATGGCTCAACAGTTTCCATGTCAACAGTAAACCTGGTGGGATTTAAGGAGCAGCATTGTGATGTTAAAGAAGATGGAGGGCTGTGGTGATGGACAGACGAGTTCTGTTCGCAGGTGTTGCAGATGGAGTAGGAGGTTGGAGGGACTACGGTGTGGATCCGTCCCAGTTCTCTGGTACGCTGATGAAGACGTGTGAGCGGCTGGTGAAGGAAGGACGCTTTGTTCCCAGCAGCCCTGTGGGAGTCCTGACAGCCAGCTACTATGAGCTGCTGCAGAACAAGGTGCCACTACTGGGTGAGTGAACAGGAGCTGGACTTCTCATTCTGTAGATGAAACGCACGGCAGCAGCCACGACACCATCATTAAGTCATCGAATGATCCGTCAGCATTACGTGTGGGGCTGGGCTGGTCAGAAGAGCCAGATCCTCTGCCTCCCAGCAGAGCATGTGCTCGCATGGAACATCAGTGAAGGAACGCCTTGGGTTCAGATGGGTCTCTGAGCGTCAGTACTTTTCCACTGAGCTCTCACATGCTCAGCCTTGAAAACACCGCTGCTTGTTACACGGAGAAGAAAATGTTCTTGAGGCGGGCAGCTTCTCGTAATTGTTTCTCTGCAGAAAGAATGGGTGGGAAATGACTCGAAGAGGCAAAGCGTGAGTCATGATGTGTAGCAGGTTTTTGGAGTCCGATCCCAGAGCATATTTTAGCTTGCTGGATGAGTCACCAGCAGGGTGTGGCCCCGCGCTGTCCGCCGCCTCATGTTTCCCCCACGTCACATCTCCTGCCGGCACAGATGGCCAGACACTTAAAAAAAATTCCTGAACATCATTACGTTCACATCTGAAGTCTTGCGTTAGGACTGACTTTGAAAAAACAACAACCAAGGAATTACCCTGAAGGGACATAAACGTAGTCGACATTGAACAACGGTGCAAACATGTGTTGCTCTCGTTGCTCACTCTGAGACAATAACTGAACTGTTTGTTTCTCCCTAAAACTCAGAACATCTGTTGTGCCACTGTTTACAAGTTCATGTGGGATCAGTCTGTGTGGTTCTGTGACGGTGTTGTTCACCTACACCCGTCACCGTGTTAGCATTTTGTTAAGACGTTCCAAACCTCATCGCGTTTCTAACAAAGCTCTAAAGCGCTGTCGACCTGTGCACGTGTGTAGGGAGCAGCACGGCCTGCATCGTCGTTTTGGACCGGCACAGTCACCAGCTGCACACAGCCAACCTGGGAGACTCTGGCTTCCTCGTGGTCCGGGGCGGGGAGGTGGTCCACCGCTCCGACGAGCAGCAGCACTACTTCAACACACCCTTCCAGCTGTCGATCGCTCCCCCCGAGGCTGAGGGGGCCGTCCTGAGCGACAGGTGAGTCTGCACAAGTTCCAACGATGGAGCTTTGAAGACTGAGCTTGTTTTTACTTTAATGTCCAGTTCACAGCACACGGACTTAACGTTAGATTTATTTTACCTTCATTACCACAGTTTATTTGTATAAGACTTGTTGTCGTTCTCTCAGAAAACTAAGTCCAAGTCTTAAAGGAAAGTTCATCCTGCAGCAGCTATGGGCTGCACAAAGGTTCAGCAGGTGCTAAATAATTTAAAACAATTTATTTTAAATAAACAATCCACGCCAGTTGTGCAGCTCATCCATCAATCAGCTGATTGTGTGTCATGTCCACTCTTATTTTGAAAAACTGCGAGAGCGAGTCAGCGAAGTAGCGAGGGTCTGCTGTGTCGATGTCTGCGTGTTTAGAATGTCAGACGGTAGTTTTGTAAAGTGTAAGATTTTAAAGCAGAGTGCTCTGCAGGATGTGGTGTTGTCCTCATATGTCCTACGCGTGGTGCAGGATGTGTTGTTGTCCTCATATGTCCCACGCGTGGTGCAGGATGTGTTGTCCTCGTATGTCCCACGCGTGGTGCAGGATGTGTTGTTGTCC